GTTACGTTGCAGTGTGTATAAAGTTTCTTTTCGTTGCATTACCTTTTCCAAAAAGACACACTGCCTATTGTATTCAAGTCTTATAATTACACGTATCTTAACCACAATACCTGGCGTAAGTCATTACATAACCCTGCGCAACATAATGTAATGTAAAGAAAATATATTATGCCAATATTGTCGCACTATTTTACTTTTTTCAAGCGAAATAATTTGCAACGTACTTTCTAGATGCAACATCTATAGAGGCATTTTCATTACGCGATAATGCCTGGAAATCTTTAGCAGCCATGAGCTACAGATTAGAATTTGGCGCAGTGGTAGTCGATGAAAAATTGATTATCGCGGGCGGTATGGACGGTATGGACAATTTTAAAACATTGAACACAGTAGAATGCCTCGATTTCTCCACTCTTACGTGGAGCACTCTACCACCTATGAATGTTCATCGATCAGGATTAGGTATGTGCAAATGCATGAGAATTTGCAAAATTAATGTGCAATTTATTTCATTTATTCATAATCAAACCCTAGCAAATACGTTATAATATTCTTTCTCAGGAATGGCAGTCTTAGGTGGACTTTTATATGCTGTTGGTGGTCACGACGGTCGTTGTTTTCTTAATGCGGTAGAGAGATGGGATCCGGGAACAGGTCAGTGGAGTTCAATATGTCCTATGTCCGTACAAAGATGTGGAGTCGGTGTAGCTGTGTTAAATGATAGGTAAGTCTTTACAGATAACAGAATAAATAATTTTTTTTTGTCAGTCAAATAATAAAAAACAATAGGAATATTGATCGACTTTATTATACTGGCCATTATAATCGCCAAGACAATACAACCACGATTTTGGTTCGATTATCGTCAAGACACTTTTTTAAACCAATATAAACTGATGTAATCTTTGATACTTATATACGAGCATCTCATTTAAATAATTAAAACGTCAGTTTATATTGGTTAAAAAAAAGCGTCTTGACGATAATCGAACCAAAATCGTGGTTGTATTGTCTTGGCGATTATAATGGTCAGTAGAGTCGATTAATATTCCTATTGTTCTTTACAGATAAATTATTAAATTTATATGTCATATCTGTTTTCAACCATTTTAATTTCCTTTTTAGTACGTGTCTTCGTGTAAATATTATTTTATTAACTTTAAATCTGATTAAATATTAAATTTTTTATCATGTTTTAGATTGTATGCCGTAGGAGGAAGAGATTTCAGTTCCTGCTTAAATACAGTAGAATGTTACGATCCGCACACGAACAAATGGACACCGTGCGTACCTATGTCGAAGAGACGAGGCGACGTAGGCGTAGGAGTAGTGAATGGTTGTCTTTATGCACTCGGTGGTGTCGACGATTTACTTACCAATCTCAATGAAACTAGCAGATTCGACTGTGTAGAAAGGTATAAAGCCGCTGTTACATTATATGTTAAAACTTTCAAGTTATATATAATGCGATGTAACAATATAGATATGATCCTAAAACCGATACGTGGACTATGGTTGCGCCAATGAGTGTGCCCCGGAGTAGAGTTGGTGTGTGCGTATTAGGTGACCGACTTATGGCCGTGGGAGGAGATGACGGCCAACAATATCTCACACTAGTGGAAGCCTATGATCCACATCTCAACGAATGGGAACCTGTGAGTGTATAAACTATTCCTGTAATTGAATATGGTAAATAGAAATAATTGTAAATGTATTTTGTAAACTTAAACTCTTTTATGTTTGTAGGTTGCTCCTCTTAAGGATGGCTATGCGGGACCCTGTGTTGTTGTAAAAAATTTAACCAATAACATGTAGATTATTTTTACTAAACAATCAGTAATTGGACTTGCTAATTATGCAATTTATATTTGTAATTACATATGATTTAAGTGTTTCAGAAATATGACAGATTCTGCTCTCTTGTGATATTGCATGCATGTTAAATTAGTTACATTATTTTCCTGAAACAATTTAAGATATATCTACATTTAAATAAGTATTATATTTCTTCTTAGCATGTAACAATTTTTATAGCATTTTTACATTTTTGTACTGTATTGAAAAAATTTCAGCCATTGTAACTATCAAACATTATATTTGACACTTGTTTGTACATGATGATAATGATTAGTTCCTTTAAATCCCAAGTGGAACATAAGATCTCCTATAAGGTTTCAGTAATCGGTTTAATCGCAGACAGCATGTCTAAAGAACATTGTAAAGACATCTTTAAGATAACTTTTAGATGTACGTGTCTAAGGCTGCGGTCCATTTGATGTTACAAGTGCTTCGAAGCGTTCTTTTTCTTCTTCTTTCTTCATTGAAAGAAAGGAGAAGAAGAATGTTTCGAAGCATTTGTAGCATCAAATGGACCACAGTAAGAAAAATCTTAAAGACGTCTTTACGACGTCTTTTTGGATATGCGTGTTGTCTGGGTTGAAATAAAATATTATTGTAGTCTATCCCTTACAGAAATTTAATACTGTAAGTGATTATTTGGCTAGGGATTACTTACTTATTTTGAGTATTAAAAGTACTGTTTTTAATGATTTTAATACTCAAAATAAGTAATTAATTACTAGCCAAATAATCACTTACAGTATTAAATTTCTATAAGGGATTTTCATATCTATTAATCTTACAATTTAGATAATTGCATGTATGTATATAAATATTTTACGCTTGTATATTAAATAACATATATATTTTGATATGTGTTTAAAAATTTCTCGATAACATTTAGAATATCATCGTCTTTTAAATTATTATTTGTTACCATTACAATTAAAGCAATATAAAAATTATTGTAATTACCAAAGGTAAAGAACAATCCGGGAAAATAATTTTTTTATATATGCAATAAAAAAATACGTATAAGGAAAAGTCTTTAATAAATGTTTTCAAAATGTCAAAGTGTTTTTATGAATTAATTTTATTTGTCAAACAATACAAAAAATATAAATATTTTTTTCCAGCTGTTAAATAATTCGGAATAAAAAGATTAAAAACTAAATATCTATAAATTTCGTTGTCCCTGATTTAATCTTCTTTCCCTATATATTAAACAATAAAAAAAAATTTAATCTAATCTAATCTACATCTTACATCTATTTGATTTCTGTTCCCGTTGATCAAATTCGCGCGTTCCAAGAACCATCAAGAAAGGCGCGGCCTCCGAATTGTGCCATATATCGGGGTGATGACTGGAAACTTGTGGCTTTCCATAGATTTAATATTTCGTGAATCGTGAGCTGCTCCGGTGGTCCGGTTGCTGCGACACCTCGATAAGCGCCGAGATTGGCTCGAGTGCACGTGAAATATTAATTTCTCTTCCAAGAATCTCTTCCTCATGTGATGAGCAGCGCATGTGAGGATTCGTGTCCTTGGACGAACTATTTGTCGGAGACGATCAATAAATGCGTGCTCAACTTGTTATCGTTGCTGTCGACGACATTCGGTCTAACCTTTAATTTCGGCGACATCGTCGTCCTCGATGACGAGACGTCGTTGAAGCTCCGCGAATTCTTTCACGAGCTGGTAGCATTGCTCTCGTTCGACGATTTTCAGCTGCAGCTGCTCAAAGTCTTCCTGCTGACCCTCGTGGGCAGCGTGACGTTGATATTCGTTGCCTGGCACGTTTATGGCTCCAGAATTACGGAGCAATTCATGAAGACAGGTAAGATCGCGCGAACAAAGCGCATTTTCGTTTTGCGCGCAATAGCGTAAAAATGAATATAATATCTGCACCTTTATCTTATCTCAATATTACACTTGAGAAATATATAAATTGATAAAGGTATAATAATGTAAAAGTTAATGGTGATTACTTTTAAACGGATTAATAACAATTTTTAAATATTTTATTTTTTTAGGCGCTTCTGAAGATTGTAATTCATCGACTGAGTAATATACTAGATACCTGACTGGCTGGACAGCAATCTAACAAATATAAAATATGGCTGATAAAATCAAGTCTTTCTTTCAAAAGAAGAAAACAAGCGCAAAATTTATGAAAGCGGGAAAGGGATACAAGTAATTGTGATAATAATATAAATTGTCGATAGAGATTTAGCGATGATGTCGATCGACAGATTAATTATATAATGACAATTCTACTATTTTGAATTTACTTTTATATATAGATTGACTGAGTCCTTGCGATAATAATATAAATTGTCGATAGAGATTTAGCGATGATGTCGATCGACAGATTAATTAATGACAATTCTATTTATTTTGAATTTACTTTTATATATAGATTGACTGAGTCCACCAGTACTATATGTACTCCAACAGAGTCTAAAGGACCAATTAAGAGAGCGGAACCTACAGAGGAAGCTAAGACAGCGGGCCAAGCTGCTTTAGCAAGATTGGAAGCGAAGAAAACTGACAAACCAAGATTTAATACGTGCGTAACATTTAAAATTATTTTTACTTATTATGCATGTTTATACAAGATGTCAGGTAATAAGCAGATCACTTCTCGTGGGCAGATAGAGTGGATTAAACTGTATCAAAAAGTTTTTTATTGTTTTAGTTTCTTAATAATTAATTTCTTATTAATTATTTAGAAACTTACAAAACGGTAAAGGACTTTTTTATTCAGTTCAATTTGCTCTATTTGTCTACTAGAAGTGGTCCGCTTATTATTTGACATCCTGTATATTATTATTAGCAATATCATTAGAGTTTTTGGTCGGTATTCATAGTTTGTTTTTATTTCAAGAGCATCTTAAGTAATGTCTTAAGACGACCATCTGGTTTGAAGCGCTAAACAATAACGATTTTTATATATATTCTTTTAAATAAACAGTTAGTGCTATCAATTTCATGTTTGTACATATTTTATTTATACTTTATAGAATATCCATGAATTTTTATATACAAAAAGAATATAAAATTGTCAAGATATCTACACGGGCAGTAGATGTCTTCACATTGATTTTGTCGAATCGTCAACTGCCCTTGTAGATAATTTTATATTATTTTTGTATATATATATATCAAAATTCATGGATATTTTCTATAAAATATAAATAAAATATATGTACAAAACATGAAGTTGATAGCACTAACTGTTAGAAAAAATGTATGAAAATCATTTTTCAGCGCTCTAACCAGGTGGTTTCCTTGAGATGTTAATATGACTCTGTGATTGATTTATGACATCTTAAGATTGTACTTAAGACCTAGATTGTTTTAAATATAAGAACCGACTATATGTATATCATCCTTTGTCCTGTCAATCTGATTAATATCGTAACTATTTACAGATCGTATGCTGCTATTCAAGCACGTGTTAAGCGTGAACTGGAATTGGAAAGAAAAGCACAGCAGAGTTTACAACAGACGGAAGATACGACGTTGAAAGAGAAGAAAGATAAAGTTGTAGATCCATCTATTTTTGCAGTCACTGATGTGTTCTTCCGTTGCCCGTATTTATCCGATGAGATATTGTTGCGGGATGAGTGGAAAAAGAAAATAAGAGAATTTCTGTATGAGCAGTTAATGGGCGAGGAAGCAGGATTAACAGCATGTCTAATTATTCAGAGCTGCAATTTCGGAAAAGAAAAAATTGAAGGCTGTGTAGAAACACTTGGCAAATATTTGGACAATATTATTAACAATCCTGACGTCGAGAAGTATTGGAAAATCAGAATGTGTAACAGAATATTCCAAGTAATACTGCATTTTTAATTGTTTGTTTAAAATAGTTTCAATAAATGTTAAAGTAGCTTACATACATTATTATTTCAGGAAAAAGTTTTGCCTGTCGAAGGAGCACTAGATTTTTTAAAAGCAGCTGGTTTTGAACAGAAAAAATTGCTGCACAACGAGAACGAAGAAGATTTCTTAGTGTGGAGCCCTGATAATTGTAACATTGAAAATCTCATGATGTTGGATGAAGCATTAAGGTCTGCTGAGCCCATTCCTCTTGAGTTAGACAGGAATTTACAAGTATTGATGCCTAGTCAAGCTCGTGTGAGAAATGAATTGCCACCTAGCTTCTTCACAATAACTCCGGAAGAAATAAAAAAGGAACAACAGTTGCGGTAAGTTTATAACGTAATATATTTGATGGTAGGATTTTTCGGAATATCTAGATAATGTAATTAAATGGAAGCGTTGATTATTATTAGGACGGAAGCTGTAGAAAGAAACCAAATGTTAAGAACAAAGGCTATGAGGGAGAAGGAGGAGCAGCGTGTACTTAGGAGATATAAATTCGCCGTACTTCGCATTAAATTTCCAGACGGAATAATATTGCAAGGTACTTTCTCGGTACACGAGAAGTTCCAGAATGTAATCGAATTTGTTACTGAAAATTTAGTCGATGATAAAGTGTCCTTTTTGCTGATAACACCGGATGGGATTAAGCTAGTAGAAGAATGCCATGCAAAGACACTTTTAGAATTACGATTAATTCCTACAGCTATATTGGAGTTCTCTTGGAATGTATCTGATAAAGAAATTATGCCTAAGAGATATTTGAAAGAAGATGTTCTTTGTTTTATACAACCAGTTTGAAAATAATATATTCTGGTACAGATAATATGATATATAATTCAAAACATTTTTTTTTTTAATACTTTCTTGACACTTTTAGCATCATTGTTATAATTTTCTGGTCATTCCAGTGTTTTTGGAGAATTTTTTTCTGATATATTGCGTCCATTATTACTATATCTGTCAAAACCCCAATTGTGTAAGAAAAGTGAAGTATGCTGATTTAATTTTTAATGAATAAATTTATTATTGAAGTATGTACACTTATTGAATTATCTATAACATAAATAAATGTAAAGAAAATTCATTTACCATGTAATTTTACTGTAAGTTTCAATTTTATTGATATAATATACATATGTAAATAAGTATTATTAATATCTGTCTAATCCTATACATATCTTGCGATATATGTTTTTTTTGCGATTATATTTATTTAAAATAATCCTGCTGTATATTTAATTTGAGGACATGTAGTATTAGTATAAATAGCGAATGTACATTGGTTCATGTATGGAGCAAATATAATTATGCATGCATATTGGCATATCAGGAATAGGATTTTACGCATTCAACTTTTGAAATCGTTATATTTATTTCTTATCGCATCCATATCCCATTCGCATTTTGGCATGTTATTGCGCCTTCAGATTTGTACGCGATATTGCACCAAGTACGAAGAGTTGCCTGCTCTCAGGGAAACCGGTTATTCATGATGAAGCGTAGACAGTTCTGTGTCTCTCAGTAATTACCTAAAACCAGTTTGGGCATCACTTACACCGCCCTCAATAGTATCTTTTATAGGTGTGTATAGTATGTGTGTGTTTGGAATGATGATTTCTCTCTCATAACGGTACCGTGACAAAGTGTTGCGTACAAACGGTAATGTGCGTACGCTTCGATTTGTAGAGAGAAATCTCCTTATGTACCATAAGCGAGCCTGTATATATAGCAAATAATCTTATCTGGAAAATACTTATTAAGATGTATTACAAAAACAATTCAATAAGTAGACGCGCTTAATATAACGGTGTATCCTACGTTATAGATTTTCGATTCACAATCAGTTGGTCGATTCACGCGCGATTTCACGAAATTTTATTCGCATATCGCGTGCAATATCGGCCGGCACTCCCAAATGCGTGTGTAAAACGCAATACGTACCGGCTGTCGCGGCTGTACTGTATTGTTGTATGTCATACGCTTTTTCAGGCACATTATTGTTCGAACCGGACCACTCTGGTGTTTCCTGTTGCGTGCCAGGATAGGGCTTTACGCTGCATTTAGGCGCGTGCGACTCGGCACGAGGAATTTTTATCTTTCACGCGCATATGTGGTACGCGAGGAAATCGAGACACATTTTGGAAAGAGATAAAACTATTGTGGAAAAAGATAAACCGATTAATTGTATTGCTAATGGATTTTACTTTTTAGGATCTAAACGAATATATTTTTCTGTATTATGGAGAATTTCTGGACTTTTTTCTTCCTTTCTCGCTCTACAGTTTGATTATATTTTGATTGATATTCGCATATTTGTTACATATAGCATCAAAGTATCAAAATACTTTTTATTCAATCAGATATTCAGTTATGTGAAGAAAAATTTCTTGCAGGATAGACCAGCAAACTGAATATCATTATTGTTTCTTCTTTTTGTAAACTGTTATATTTCCATTTTAAAACTTATTGTTACTAATATATGCATATACGATTATTAATAATTTATATTATATTTTGCAATTTCTAAAAATATAATAAAATCTACATTAATAATTTGAAACATTTGTATAAATATATGATCGTCCATACCTATTTCTATACGGGCCGATTTCACCGTCTCCGGTTAACTTGATCCTCCGATTAAACTCGTACTTCATCTCTTTCTAACTGTCTCTTTTAGAAAGAGACGAAAAGTGAATTTAATCGAAGGATCAAGTTAATCACAGATGGTGCAATCGGTCCTAAACTAACGAAATTTTAAGAATCGCAATTCCTAGAATTTTGATCAAGATTGAAGATTTCAATAAGTGATCATCAAATTCATAATCATTTAAATTCAATAAAAATTGCTAAAGAGATTAGAAGAATATAATAAGAGATTGTATTACTAACTAAAGTTCTAAAAATTTTCCAAATTTTTCAGTATTTTTCTGTATTCTAAAGATTACAATTTAAAAAATTAGGGATTTTGAATTACGGAAATCAAGTATACCGAAAATTGAAAAGGTATGTGGAGAATATAATAATCATACGAAAGAAGCTACATTATCTAAAATTCCAAGAACTTGAAAAATCACAACTTCGAAAATTTTTAAAATTTCAGGTTAATTCAATTAGCTTTCGATTTGTGAAAATATAAATTCTTGAAAATCGAGGTATTAGAATGTAATTAAGAACATGGTGAGGCAAATTATAACTCCAAAGTATTTTATTCCAAAAGTAGAACTTTCTTTTATCTATCATTCACATGTTTTACATTATAAGCGCGGCGGTTGTGAACACATACATTATTTTATCGACGTAAAATATCGACAGGCAGTATAAATTATAGCGAAGAAGATATTATTAAAATAAATGCAACGTTGTGCGCAAATTTTCTGTGAGAAATTCATCACTTTAGAAATTCAAATTTTTGGATAGTGTAAGTATAAACACATTTGTGTATCATGTTGAAAAAACTATATTGCATTTGCTCTCTTTATTTTAGACAAAGTTACAGTTTGATATATTTTTCACTAATGGTTTTCCGCTGCAATTTTCTGTCCGCGATAATGGACTTTCTTGCAGACGCTTTGCATTGTCCTCCGATTTACCGCAGCCTCGTGGTTGGTTTTGTCATCCCGTCAGCGCATTACATGTTGTGGTTAAATACATCGATAGTTATTCTCCGACCTGCTTTCTTTATGCTACAAAGGACGGCTGTCAATACCTGCTTCGAGTACTGTAAACGCGTCAGAAATATTTAGATATTCGCTGCTGAACAGGGAGTTTAGCACGAGAAGAGCCGTTTCGACGTTTTAAATTCTCTTAACAATTCGTACTTTGTTGTATGCGTTTTTTTTTCTATTTTTAATAATAATCATCGCGGAGCAGACACAATGCGTTTTATCTACGTAGATCGCGAAAACCAAAAAGACTGAAAGATACCTACAAAGAATGCAAATATTTAATTGACACGAATCCAAATTCTTTACACCATTTATACTCTAAGACGGGCATGGCTCGCCACGGTCTTCTCAGTGCACACCGACTATTGCGGCCGACTGGGTGTTCGGGATTCGGGGATGGATGATTTTCACCGCGGTCGAGTCTCCCGTTTGTCAAAATTGAAAGAAAAACAAAAAGCGAGAGAAAAGAGACCGGGCCGAAATTCGAGAGTTGATCGAACAGCGATGACGCTCGACGTGCGTTATCGGGATTTTTGACCGAGCGCGTTTAATTCGCTGTCGGCAATCAGTGTGTGACGTCAGTCAGTGACACTATTCTCGTTTATACTTCGCGCGTCGCGAGGATCACGACGGGCAGCAGCCGCTGAATAGCAGCTGAACGTGATTGGCTCTTACTTTTAGAATCAACCAATCAACGCAAAGTGTTGATAAGACGAACTCAACAGTTGTGTTTGCTGAACGCGGCCGACGTTGCGCTCGTAGATCGCAAGGCCGGCGCGGCGTTTTTTTTTTCGACTTGTATGCGAACGCGCGCGCAACGTGTTCTCATCGACGATCGCCGCGGACGTTTCCGAATTAATTCTGGATTACATCGGCGAAACGATACTGCGATTGTGGTCCTACCAGTTTGGTCGAGCGCGGCAATCAACCGCTCTTTGCCCAACCAGCCCAACGGCGATTCGGGCGATTGTGGATGCCGACGTGAGCTCCGGTGACGAGGGCTGCTTCTTCGAACCTCGCGAGAGAAACATCCGCGGATGCGGCAGAGGTAAGTGCGATACGTCTTGTTTCAACGTAATATAAAACATACATCGAAGCATGGAGAATTTCGCACACACGGGATGCAGTTTGAGAAATTGCCTAACCTAACCGCGCGAACTTTGCATTGTATCGATTGTATTCCCGTTTGAATCTCAAAGTAATTTCCCAGACCAGCGTTATGTTCGAAATCGAGACATAAGACATTTTTTTAGGCCCAGTTTTACAAGTGTCGGTTAATTTTTAACCTTAGATTAACTCACTCTTTGTCTATTTCTAATGTCCCCCTTATGTCCATTTCTATCAACGCAGGTTAATTCTGATCTTGGTTTAACTTACCTGTCATCTTTTCCTAGTTCTAAAAGTTAGAAAAAGATAGAAAGTAAGTTAAACCAAGATTGGAAGTTAATCTACATTGGTAGAAATGGGCATTAGAAAGAGACGAAGAGTGAGTTAATCTAAGATTAAAAGTTAACCGACACTTGTGAAACTAGGCCTTAAAGATGTCTTATGTCTCGATTTTGGAGCTTGGTCAAAATGGCCAAGCTCCAAAATCTCCATATTTTTATCTTCTTTTACAGAGAAATGACATCTCATTGTCAACCTTCATATTGCGAGAGTTGTAGTCGTATCCCTATGTGGGCAGAGTATCCGTAGGCGAGGAGGAACATGTTGACTTCATCTATCAATTTGTGAAGAAAAAATTTTTTCCTAAGCGTGACTACGATCGGAGTCTTAGCACGTTTTATACTGCTCTTGACATTATTGGACCACCCAAGTTTTCAAACTATGGAGTTGGTATTTCCGAACTACCATTTCATTTACCATGTTTTATTAGAGGAAGCAATGTATGTGTATTTCTTAGTATTATCTGTTATTTTCCTTTACAATGTAATCGCAATCTTTTGTGCTACAAGATTTTCGATTATTTGACACATTTGGATTTTTTAATATAGAGGAAAGAGATCGATATCTCACTATCTCCGTGGCAAAAGAAAGATGATTTCATCAGACGAATTGGTAAATTTGGATTCTGGCAGTATCTCAAAAATACATATATTGGTATGTAATACTTGAATTGATAAATAAAATATTGTTAAAGAAAATATGTTTTTTTTTGAGAAGAGAGTATAATTATATTTTCTATTTTGAAGATATTGAGTTTCATGAAGCTGTATATCCAATCAGAGTCTCTATATACGAATTATACTATCCTGGAACCGTAATTCAAATTTGGGCTCAAGATTCTAATAATCAGTGGTTAAAGTTGTGGGGTGAATCGACTCAGATTGTGCCGCCACTGCTGCCGGCATCAAGATTATTTTCCCCACCCCTATCGCACCCTTGTAACTTTAAAACCAAAATGCTCAGACTAGTATTTAGAAACGGTCCACCTGGATCTCGCACAAAGCTGGACGCTGTTATGCTTATCGGTACATCAGAATTGATCTTTCCTAGAAATGCTAATGAGAGTTTAACTAATTTGTTAAAAAGAATTAACTGCACGTACTCTCCACACCATGAGTATAATTTAACAGCAGATTTAAAAAGTGCACACTTGGATATAGTTCAATTGCAACAGAATTTTCCCGAATATTGCATTATTTGTAAAAGGTATTATATAATCGTTAATATTAAGTAATAATCAATATATTTTTATTTTTGTTAATAATAAAAATTAATTTGTTTGAATGTTATTTGCAGCGATATAAAAAGGAAGACTTTTTATAAGAATAATTTGAAACGCAAAGAAGAATCTCAGGAAGTAATTTCTGCTTATGAGCAACTTCATGGAGAGAAAAACTCATCTCATATTTTATTAAAAAGTCATTTGAATCGTGTAAACAGTATGAAACTCTCTTTGGATGAATCCAAGGAGCTACCACGCAGTTTGTCTGAGCTTCCTGTAAAGTATCCTAAAAAATCTATTTCTGATAATAGTATTTATTGCAATGTCATCTCGTGTATTAAAATTTTATATTTTATTTTTGCAGGATGAAGTACTACTAATAATATTAAAAAACTTAGATTTGATGACGTTATGTCGCTTGAATTACGTAAATAAACGCTTCAATGATTTGATACGGGACCCTCATCTCTATATACGTTTGAACATACGTATACGTAATGTACCTAACAAATATATACACGATATATTTTGTTATTTTACACCTAGATGTAAATATTTGCGACAGTTAGATCTTGCAGCAAGCAACTTTGATGTTAAGGATTTCGTAAAGTTTATTGATAATTGCGGCAGGCATTTAACGTACTTAAGATTAAGTAGGTGCCAATTAATTGACAGTCATGCTCTACTTAAAATTTCAGAGATATGCAAAAATTTGAAAGGTAAGTGTATATACATATAGTATATATGATTGTCAAGGTTATGGATAAATTGCATATAACTAATACATATTTTTCTCAGAATTGGCTTTAAGTCATTGTCGCGTAGACGACGAAGAATTTTCGTATCTCGAGAGGCTAAATGGTTTGGAGTATCTAAACCTTCTTGATACACATATAGAAACGCAACGTCTTTGCAATATACTGCAAGAAAATCAACGGATGCGTGAGTTACATTTAAACGTGGAATTTGAAAGAGACTTAATAAACCATGACGCAGTCCTAATAGAGTTGGCAAAGTCGTGTCCTGACTTGGAAGTAATAAGTACACTGGAAGTACGTTATCTTACATCTCGGGGTATTAATGCCCTCGCTGGCTTAAAGAATTTACGTGAAGTGGAAATTTGCCTGTAAATATGTCTTTTAATTTTCTTTTAAAATACATATCTATTATTGTATTCTTTATTGAAATTTGTGTGTTTGCTTCTCTTGCAAGCATCTTGAAAAAATTACATGAATTTTCTTTTTGCAATTAAAACACTGTACTAATTATATGATTTTTGTTACAGATACAAATACCGAAATACTGATGACAGCTTATTTAGATTACTTTCCTCCTATCAAAACTTGCAAGAAGTTTATTTGATCGGCAATTATATAGTTGGTACTCTCAATGATCACACGTTGGAATTACTGGCGCAGTGTAAAAACTTGAAAAAGTTATGTTTTTATTACGTGAGACTTTATACACCTGATAAATATTTCGTTATTTTGGAACAATGTCCAAAACTGCAAGAGTTTTATCTCATAAACTGTAATATTAGTGATCGCTTAGTTAATCAATGGAAGAAAAGATATCCTCATGTGTCCGTCTATACTGATGATTGCTCCCATTTTCCGACATATTAATTTACTTCTTACTCATGTTTATTTTTTATATTTTTATGCTTACAAATTTACTTTGTAAAAATTGTCTGGTACTTAAATTAGATTGCGTAAAAGAAGTTAATGTCTAATAAAAACGAAATATTCTGGTATAACAACGCATGCTATAATTTGCCGACAACATCCCAACAACAATTAATGCAAACTACACGTTGCTATCTGGGTAAACATTAATTTTTTTAGAAACATATGTATGTACAAAATTGAAGGAAATTGAAAATGGTTGCGTTCAGCAGAGAAAGCTTTGCTGCTTTGCTGCTGTTGTAAAATTCGTGAATTTAATTAGTGTATAATACTTTTAGCTCCGGTAAAAACTAAAAGCATACATCAATCAGATTCCTAAATTTTACAACAGTTGCAGAACAGTTTCCTTTGCTGAACGCAGCCAGTGACTACTAACGGAGCTACAAGCGAATTATCTCGTAAGCACAATAAAACTGAATAAAACAGTGTTTACTTTTTTGATCGACATATATATTGAGTTTTGATGTTTAATATGATGAATATAAAATAATAATATAAAATAATATTGTAAAATAATAACTATTTTTGATTGGTCGGGAAAATATTTTTAACGAGTCTTTTTGTCTTTATTTCAAGAAACATGATAGTGTCTTGCGCCAATTAAAAATTTGGGTACATAGAGCTGTCACTGACGACAATATTTGTTTATACAAAAATACTGCAGTTTATATATAGAAAATGGGATAAACGATACAAGCCCTCTAGAGAAAACATTTAAGAGCAATATCGTGCAATCAGAACTAAAACTAAAGCCTGATCTACAATGTGCTCTTTGCTTCCTGTTTTAAGATAAAAATTGACGAACTTCAGAAGAGACAAGAAACATTACGTTACGCGACGGAATTGCGAAATACGAGATCGCAAAGAGGTTAAGAGAAAAAAACAGAAAGCAAAGAGCACATTGTAGATCAGGCTTAAAAGCCTAGAAAAAAAGTTGCATGCTTTTAAGTAGAAAACAAGATTAGAAATGTTGACATTATCGACATCGAGGAAGTTCGGCCTTCACTATAGGATCCCCTACAGCGACTACGCGTTATTTCGTGACCGAGATGTTTTTCTGCGTCGTTTTAAATGATACTTAATGAAATGTCGACTGTCTTTGAAGCGAAATGAAGTTTCAAAACCGTCAAGTGACGTGGTCCACTCTGGAGCTCACCGGACTCCTGGAAGACGAGGATTCTCACTTGCACTTCACGAGGGCCGTCAAGAATCTCGCGTTGCATTCGTACCACTTGAATAATGTTCAGCGGGGTCTTAATCAGATTTTGAGATCGTCATTGAATTCCTACGACAGAGAGTACGTTATTATCTATATTTTTTACACACAAGCACAAAATATCTATTTCTTTGATTCTCAGTTATGCATGTACTTCATTCAATGTTTATAACAGTGAAATAAAGATTAAACGATTATTTATTAAAATATAAGTATCTTTTCATTGCTATTTTATTATTCCTATGATTTGTCACCTGCACTTAAGTAGTACTATGTAATAATAATAAATTACATGAGTAAATTACAAAGTACAAAGTACATAATATGTTAGATTACTTTGACAAATGATGATGTATATTATTAAGTTTACAATAGAATTTAACAAAACAATTCTTTATTTTAGATTGAAAGGGTTTGTGCTAGCTTTTAGAAATCTTAAATTGCTTAGCAATTTGGGAGAAATGCTGTATGACTCTCCCTTCATTCATATTGACATTGAAGTAGATTTTTATCTGTTTTGTCCAACAGTCAGATCTTTTCCAAAAGGTAAAGTAATTGTATTTTTGCTAGCTGCTATGTGTTCTATAAACTTAATTTATAATAATTTATAATAATTTTTATTATGTTGCAGGGATAGTGAAAAAGAAGGGGTTCGACCATATTGTAGTGCTCGTGCACAAAATATATACTGTATCTATTATATTCCGAAACCAGACGATACAGAAGAATGGATAGGTGAATCGGTCGAGATCGGGCAGAAAGTGAAATGCTGCGTGACTCAAATAGATAACAGGAGCAAACCCCCTTTCATCTGCGCTACTTTGAGGTGAGTCCGATTACTCACAAGGTTGCAGATTGTCAGAAAGCATAATAAATAGTTGATTATGTCCAGTTTTCAGTTTTAATTTTAATAGATCTCAACTATGAGTCTGTGTTTTTTAGGACTCTTTTTTCTCTCTTTTTCAAAAGAATCATATTCAATGGAAACTTCTCTTTTTATAAATTTAGGCATTTCTAAATTTTTACTTAAATTTTGCACATTTTGAGTCTCGTTACTTGACGTTTTGTTTCCGTTAATAATTTTCTCTACAAATGGATCTTGCTTTTCAATCTTTATTTTAACAAAGTGACCCTCTGATTCCGAATCTGACATTTCCATAGATGCCTTCTTGTGTTTATGTTTTTTGGATACGCTATCTTCTAAATTACTTGGAGAAAGATCGGCATTTGATATAATATGCTTCTTATCCATATGTTGGTCTTCTTTTTCAGATTTAATAGTTCTGGAAATAGTTCTCTGTATTATTAATTACTTTTTCTTCGTTCTCTGAATCAAGTTCTCTAGATTTCTTCGCATGTTTCTTTCTCTTTTTCGTCTTTGTTTCAGTAACACTATCTAATTGTTCTTCTTTTTCAGATTTGATGTATCTGATGGAAATAATGTTCTCTGTATTATTAATTACTTTTCCTTCGTTCTCTGAGTCAAGTTTTGTAGATTTCTTCGCGTGTTTCTTCCTCTTTTTCGTCTCTGTTTTAGAAACACTAGCTATATAAATGCTCTACTCTTTCAGATTTAATACATCTGAAAGTGATGATCTCTGTATTAATTAATTTTTCTTCGTTCTCTAAATCAAATTCTCTAGATTTCTTCGCATGTTTCTTTCTCTTTTTCGTCTCTGTTTCAGTAATGCTATCTAATGGAATGGAATTTTCTCTCTTCACAGCTTTACGTGACTGTGCAGCTTCATCCAAAATTGTATCATTATTAAGCAGTAACTTGGACGTTTTCTTACTTTTCTTATGTTTTTTAGAGCTATTATCAACTTCGGTAAAGATCGTAGAAACGTAATGGTATCATTTCAATGATTGCGTTTAGTTTAAAAGGTAATGCAAAATTATGATGCAACCACTTCTCGCGCGATCGACGTACGCATTTGATTATGCCGCGCGGTTATTTGCGGCAAATCAGCAGTTTAGCGCAGCCCGTAATGACAGGATCGTGATGTATTAGCGATTTTCAGCATCCGTTCGACCGCGCGCACCTAATAGCCGCGTCGTGTTAGAATGCATGTATACATGCATGGCCGCGGGATCCATTCGCAAATGCTCTCGCGTGTGCATAAGCACGAGCGCGAGCGCGCGCTTCATAATTCTCGCATACCGCGAATCGTCGCTCTTTTGCAATTCGCTTAACGACCCCGGCACACCTGTTGCAGAAACAGGTAGCAATGATCGCGTCGTGCCAGTTTCTTTTCTCCGTACTAGGGAGAAGCGATATCGGAATATCTGTCAGAAAGGTTGACGTTCCGAGCTGCCGATGGAACCATTAAATCCTCGCTATTTTACACAAGTTTCTTGCGCAAAGTTTATAAAATAAAATTGCACGATAATTACGCTTATTTACATTCTTAAAACTATGGTTACATTTTTTCAGGAGGAAGAGGGATGCATAAAGAGGGGAGAAAACAATCTTTTCAGCTTTGTCGAAATTTGAAAATAATGCGACCTAATATCAAATAAAAATTAATCAAAATCAAGGACTCGAAATCTCTTTGATGTAACGGAATAATTTGGATCCCGCGTTTACACGCGTCGACGCGTTAAGACGCGCGGATTGCGGAATGACAAGATCCGAAGGGAGACGATAACTGGTTTACGCCACGCAAAGGAAGCCCGACGAGATAGGACGATGCCGCGCAAAGGCGGCGGGCGGCGGCGCAAGGCGCAAGGCGCAATTGCGATCGGGGCGATGAGGTAAAAAAGGGAAGAGCCGCGCGCGGAGAGCATCATCGGAAGCGAACGGCGCCCGAGGTTATTGCCGGAGCGAGAAGGACGGGCGGAATGAGTTCGAACGAAGTGCTACACGCCCATTCCCGCTTAGAATCTAGTCTACCGGAAATTTGCAGTTACCTTGCATTCCACGCAGGGTCGAACGCCCCGGGGGAGGGAGACGCCTAGCTCCGATCCCGCCGCGGGGATCGTTAATTGCTCGTGGCTGAAACGGGATTTCCAATTTCTGCATTCGTCGCGCGGGGATGACTTTCATCCGCCGGATGGAAAAAATAGATTTAACGGCGGAAAGTGTTGTCGGACGGTGTATACACTGTATACTTACGTTATTATATCAATGAAAGCGCGCGCTTAAAATTCCGCGAGGTTGAGACACGAAGGTGACAACGTCGTTGTCTTCGTTTGAATTTATTTCGCGAGATTTGATTTTTCATTACGTCGACATTGGTCACATTATCGCATTGCGGTAATATTTTTGTTAAGAAAATTAAATATTCTTTGTAATTGTTAATGTTTTTCTGAAGTAAAACGCTTTTTATTTATATATTAAAGATATTTTCGATTAATTGTACTATTATTCACAGAATCGATAAAGAATATTTATGTATATTTGTAACAATTGAAAATATGAATGTAAGCAATAGCGAAGTGCTTATTTTGTTTTAGATTTAATATAGAGAACTTGCGCATTTATTTATATGAATTAATATTCTCATATTTGTTATCAGAAAGTTATCTGACCTTTTACTGAAACACAATGTGCAGTCAATAGTAATATTATAAACTTGTTCGACAAGTAAAGTTCAACAATTTGAATTTATTTTATTTACTCGCTTAAACGCGAGGGCTGAAGTAGGGCTGGCGATTTGCTTCGAAGAGAGTCAAAATTATACACTTATTAATCTAATATAATAGTACCGCGATACACTGAGAAAAAAAAATCGTTGATTCAAAGAAATATTATTTGATTTAACTAAATGCAGTGGTCACG